CTGTAGACAAATATTAAACACCACAGAAAGATCAGAGGAAAAACCACCAGTGGGCATCATGTATCAGTGATTTATACTTCTAATACACACAATTACAGAGCCTGAAGACAGAGAGATTGTTATGCCCTCTACAGCTAGAGGGCGCTCATACTCTGTCCTATCCCTGGTTTCCTGTGCTTTGCTGTCCTTCCAGTGTCTCTCTCTCTGGGGCTGTATATTTCCAGCTCACTCATTCACCTTTGCTCAGCATTGAGGTTCAGATGTCCTGAGACCCACCTAGCACAAGGTCGCCCCACATCCGTGGCCTGAGGGCACAGGTTTCTATACGGCATTTCCTGAACTGCTGAGCCCGGGCTAACCCCCGTCTCGCCGCTACACGTAGGGTCTTTTTCCGCTCTCCTGCCATTCCACGGTTCGTCCCTTCCGACATCCGTGACAGAGATTCTTTTATTGCTAGCTCTGTTCCTTAAGAGCCGCAGTTCAACAGGGTTATGTATACTGTAACTATTAAATCATCAATTTCTAAATATGCTAATTTGTTAAATTAATTAAGGAAATCATATGGAGCACAAAGATCAATTTAAAAAACAAACTATCCTTAACGAAGCACATTAATTGGTATAATTTAGATGTGTTCCCCAGCTTTAGAAACAAATTCAGAAATCTGTCAATGCATCTGTGCTTGAAGCACTCCTATCCACACTCTCAAAACCTCTCTTGACATGTTGACTACGTCATGCTCACAGGAAGATCTGTTTGACATCTGACTCAGAAAAACTCTGGGGGAGAGAAAAGGCTGTTTGTCCTCTTGTTCTGATCATCACAACCCTCACAGCCCTGGGTCAAGTTCTTCCTCTGTATTTAATCATCCCAATGTCTTACATCTTACAGCTTCAACTAAAAAAAAAAACTGCTCTCTGCCATTATAAACATAATATCAGTTCTATTTGAAGATACTGAAATTCAAGCCTATACTACATGTGACACTAAAGTTAGTGTTTCTGCACTGTCTAATGGCATCTCAGACACAAAATCATGGTGACAAACAGTTCCTTCTGTTAAATGGCAACAAGACTGAAGTTATGCTTCTCGACACCTCCCCTCTGTAAAGCCAATGCAGTAACTCTCTGTGGATGGCACTGTGCTTCCATTTCAATCTCAGGTGGAGAAGTCGAGGGTGATATTTGATCCAACCTTGACGTTTGAGTACATGTGCAAACATCCTTATTCCATAACAAATATCACCAGACTACGTCCTATATTGCCTCTGACTATAGATGTAAAGCTACAACACAAGTCAACACATTGGTCTTTTCTAGGATTTTTTACTGCAATACCCTAGTCTCTACAGTATCTAAATCTGCACTGAACAAACTTCAGTATGTCCAGCCAGAATCCTGACTGGGTTGCACGCAAGTGGTCACATAACTCCCGTCCTGGAGTCCCTGCACTGGCTTCCTATCAGTTTTCACGTCGACTTCAAAAACGTCATGCTCACCTATAAGGCTCATAGCACCTCAGTACCCGTCTGCCTGATTATCTTCCTGCTTCCTACCTCAATCTTCATTCGTCTCCTGATCCTGTTCGTCGTTCCGATCTCCTGTTGGTCCACCAAGCTTGTTTACACACTGTGGGTGACAGAGACTTCTCTTGCTGTGTCCCAGAGCTCTGGAATATCAGAGAGTCACCTACAGTGAGCACATTTAAACCCAGACTCAAAACGTTCTTCAGAAAGACTTTTACTTCATTGGTATCTCTGTGTGCTCCTTACATATTCTAAATCCCCTGTGTTTCTTTGTGCTTATTTTGGTACCTCTTACCTTTGTTAACCGTTTTCTTACTTTTCTTGTCAAGCACTCTGAGGAGCTACATTTAAAAGGCGCTATCTTAACTAGTTTAATATTATTCTCTAGGTAAAGAATTGAGACGTGCACCTAAATTATCCCAGTTTCAAATACGAACCTGCAGGGTTAAAACAATCAAATCTTTATTGAAAAGCTTTTACAATTGAACTTCTTTCTATCGTTGTCTTCACCATAACTGTAGCAATGAAGATGGACAAGTTTGAATGCATTCTCTTGCATACCTGTATATTTTATCACGCAGGGACTGACTGCGGAGGATGGAGATCCAATGCGGTGGTCTTGGTAGGGTTGGCGCTAGGCGTAGGCGTAGTCGGAATAAACAGGCTGGGGTACGAGTCCGGGAAGGCGTTGTAGAGGCGTAGGCACTGAATCGGCAGGCGAAGGCGTAGTCGAGGAAACTGGCCGGGGTCGGGGTCCGGTGAGGCGTAGAAGAGGCGTCGGTGTGGGATCGGCAGGCGGAGGCGTAAACGAAGAGACTGGCTGGGGTCAGGATCCGAGAGTGCGAAAAACAGGCGTAGGTACCAAATCGAGCGGCGAAAGCGGTAGTCGGAAAAGCAGGGTCGAGGTCTAGGTCTAGGTCTAGGTCTAGGTCTAGGTCTAGGAGAGAAGTCGCCGAAAGGCACAAGCGTAGTTCGTAAGGTAGCTCCAAGACGGAATCTCAATCGTGACCGATGACCAGGGCACAGGTGAGGGTTTAAGTAGAGGACTGATTGACGCGTGCACGTTTGGTACGGGGAGAGCTCGTGGGAATGCGGGAGCGCTTGCCTGCGTGAGGGAGATTCGTGACAGCAGCATGGTGGACAGAAACCTTCATGGTTTGAATCGCACGATTTTTATACCTTTAATTTTGTATTTAAATTTAAAGAGTATTTATTTAAATATATACTAATGATTGTTTTATTTTACACAATTTCTATGGACCTTTCCAGGAAATGCTAGAGATTCTCCAGCACACTTCACACATAACTTCATTACATAGTACCTGTCTATGCAGATCCGTGATGTTTGGAATCCAGACTCAGCCCTCACTCACCCTTGTTGCACACAAGATGTATAAGATGTTGGAAGAGCAGGCATTGAAGCAAACTGGATAATTTCCATACTGTAACCTTTCAGCTGAAAAAAGAATTTGACAAAAAACAATAGCTGTGAAAAGGCAGATCAATCTTTGACTTTTATGACTGTAAAATTCAGCTTCTTATATCCAGTGCATTCAATGTTAAAACAAAGGGAACTGGTTGGAAGACTCTGCAATGTGAACATTCTTTTAAACTGAAAATCATATCATAAAATAAACTTCAAGAATGTAATAAATTAGAGACACTGTCACGACTGCCAGCCAGCGGAGATCGACCTACAAAAGAGCCAACCAGTTCCAGCAGCGCACTTATCATAACAAGCGCTGCCGCACGTGTTAAACCATCACCACCCGCTGTACCGGGCTGCACGCAGCTCTATTTAAACCCTCTATACTGGCTACTCGCTGCTTGCTATTGATTCTACTCCTAGAGAGCGCCTGTCTCACTTTTTTTTTTAAGATAGACTGCTCTTGTTAAATCTCATTCGGCTTTTTGAACTACCTTTGCTCTTGACTACGGACTCGCCTGTCGTTTTGGATTGGACACCTGTGTTTCTGCCTCTCCATTTTCCTTCGTCTGCACAGGATCCTCCCACTTCATCACTTGGATTAATTACAGACACATTCTTTACTTCTCCCATGTCTTGCTCCTTCATGTGTTCATGTGTTCATGTGAGCATTTCTAACCTCTTTTCAAATTGTGTTAAATATAAGTAACAGAAGTGAGAATGTACAAATAAATAGATAATTGCTTACACTTATATAGCGCTTTTCTGGACACTCCACTCAAAGCGCTTTACAGGTAATGGGGATCCCCTCCACCACCACCAATGTGCAGCCCCACCTGGATGATGTGATGGCAGCCATAGTGTGCCAGAATGCTCCCAACACACCAGCTGAAGCTGAACAGAGTGATGAAGCCAGTTCAAAGATTATTAGGAGGCCATGACTGGTAAAGGCCAGGAGCAAACTTGACCAGGATGCTGGTCACACCCCTGTTCTTCTCAAGAAATGCCCTGAGATTTTTAATGACCACAGAGGACCTCAGTTTTATGTCTCATCCATGGGATGGCATCTTTTTACAGTATTGTGTCCCTGTCACTATACTGGGGCATTAGGACCCACACAGACTGCGGGGTGGGTGCCCCCTGCTGGCCCCACTAACACCTCTTCCAGCAGCAGCCTTAGTTTTTCCCAGGAGGTCTCCCA